GTGAGTAAAATGCCCCAAAGAAGATAAGACAAATGGTGATGGTCCCAAAAGCTGAATTTCGTTTTGTAAATAAGTCAAGATGGTTCTGCTTAAAAGAACCAGCCCTGAGGATGACACACGCATGCCCCAACACAGATAGGGCTGCGGGCGCAGCCAGACTCCTCTCTGAGGGCAGTGAGTGCCTTCATGGCATGGAGACTGTGACTGCCTCAAAGGGACTGTCGACTATCACAGTTCAGATCCAGAAAAGACGAAGATTGGACACAGAACATGCAGATTATCTCACAAAACAAATTCTGAAAGTGTTGACCTGTGTGTGTTCACTATGTGTGTGTGTGTGTGTGTGTGTGTGTGTGTGTATCTGGGATTGGAATGACAACACACTGCCCCCTGTCACAGGCCTATTCTGGCAGGTCTGTTTAACAGGCTTGTTCTACGACTTCGCACACGTTGGGAAGGTGGAAGGATCTCAGAAGTCCTCCGATCCAACCTTCCTTCAGAGGAAGGACTTCCCTTTCCTAACAGTATCCAAACCAACACTCTGGAAGTTGTTCACCTCTTAAAACTCATGTTCAGGACAAAACACGAACTGCGGTGTGCTTGGCCTCCGTGAAGGGGGACCAGCGCCCCCACGGCCCCCACGCAAGCACGACTGGCCTGGGCGAGTCGTCTGAGCGCACAGGCTCTGTCCTGTGACACAGAGCCGAGACCATCTCCCAGTGCCCTTCGATGCAGGTGACTTTTTTCCTTTACCCAAGTTCAAGACCACGTACCATTCCTGAGAAAGTCTTCCTCAGTCCTGGCCCCATCCTGCAGGCCCGAGGCCCGAGGGACCCTGCTGTTGAACGGGCCAGGTCTGGAGCAAAGTCACCGGCACAGTAAAGACCTCCATGACGTGAAGGGTAATGGCGGGAGGGAAAATTAAGGGCAGCAAATACAGACAGCATTTGTAAGAAGCTCTGCCACCCAGGGAAACAAAGAGATCGGATGGTAGGAGGATGGCTATTTGGAGGGGAGGTCAAACATTTTTAAAAAAACATTCAAATATTTATATGCTAATGGATCATCCAGGGGCAAAGGAAAAATATAATATGTAAAAACACTAAGTTGTAACATAATTTATTGTATATATCTCTTCTATCTTCTTGGTTATTTGATTTATGTAAAAATTTGGTTTTCTCCAGCTCCTTCTGAATTCTCTTTTCTCTTAGGCTCTCTGCTCCCAGGATCATCCCTATTTTTTCTCTAAATATTTTGAAATCTCTAGCTACATCCAGTAGCGCCTGCATGTGCCACTGTAAGCCTGACATTACGTGACCGCTTTCACCCACGGTCTCATTTCCACAGCCATCTCCTTCACCCTTTGTGAGAATTTTAAAAACGAAGTTCAAGTATAAGGAGTGCATCCAACAGAATCACTTTTAAAACATAAAAACCTAAGATTATTTAAAAAAAATCCCTACAGTCAGCAAGATGACAAAAAAATGTCTACCATTTGGTAAAATTGTTCTATAACCCAGTAAGATCCAATTCTGAAAATTTTGATGCAAAGCAAAAAGTGGCTGACACCAAATCCTTCCCACCAGCGCATCTGCATACATAATGACATCATCAACACAGGGCCCGCTTCTCTCCCAGCCCCCACTCAGGCTGGAACAAAAAGTCAGTGTGTGAGCACAGAAAGCACATTTACCGCGTCTGCTCCACAGCAGAAATGATGCTAGCCGCTTCCCATTGTTTCTCCTTCTCAGCTCACCCTTTGCAAAAACTGCAGTCAGCACATACACACGAGCCAGGCTCCTTCAAAAGTCCATTTCTAAATGTGAATTCTCTGCCAGTTACAACATTCAATTTGTTAGCATCCAACAAGTGAATCTCTGTCTGCAGACACATTCTATTTAATGACAAAAAAGATATTTTCAAAGTACACTTGTTCATGCAGTATTTTCTTAAGTGTAACAGTTTGCAAAATGTACTTTTACATGCCACAGCACCTCAGGAAAAAAATGCCCATCTACCCTGTGAAGGCACAGGACGAATGAACCCTGCTCATGAATGCTCACTCCCTGAACTGACAGCGGCCATGTAGCAAGACCACTTCTAACTCCACCAACCAAGTCAGAGAGCTGAGTGAGTCATCATTACGTTAAGCTCTAGGAAAACTGTACAACTATTCTGTCAGCACGTTCCTTTTTACCAGAAAGCCCCAAATGACTTTTCATTAATTTCACATGCATTGACCACAGCTGTATTTTTTGTCTGATTGTTTGTTTTGCCAGGAAATGTCTCAAGCATTTTGTTTTTGCAATTGGACCATCACTTTATTTAGTGTCTACACACAATGAGTCCTCAGTAAAGATGGTAAGGGTTTTCAATGCAACATTATAGAAGCATAAAGGTGCCAAGAAATGTAGTATTTTTTCTAAAAGCATAAAAATGTGAAACTCACTAAATCAAGAATATCGTAACCTGAAACACCCAAACATTATTCCAATCTTAACCCATTTTTTAAAATTGAAATATTGATACAAGCCATTTTCTTCAACATAATTTTAACAGATTCCTACCACCATTCTTATTTTTGAAATACATTTGTAAGTTCCTACTGCAAATGCTGCAAAATGTCTTGGATTTCATGTAAACCTGTAGGTCTAGAACAATCTACAGGCAAACTGACTTACAAGACCCCAACCAGAATGTGAGCTTCAGGAAGGGGAGATCTTTATCTGTTTTGTTCACTGCTGTCGCCTCTCCCTCACCCTGGTGCCCTGTAGATGGTGCCTGGCACCCAGTAGGATTTCAACTCGTATTTGCTGGACAGAGAAACCCTCTGTGTGCAGACCCCTCAGCACAACACCAGACCCAAACCACTGCAGGGTCCCATCAAGCATCAGGAGAAAACCTGGAGCAAACGCCTGTGCAAACACAAAACGAGCCCCCAGCACATTGAAGAGAGGACGAGCAGACACTTGGAGGGACTGTCCCCAGACTCAGTCTTCACACCCTGCCCCAGCACCTAAAAGCCCACCTGTTCAGAGACTCATCTCTGGTAACAAGACCCCTATTTTCAAAACACAGGAGCCACGGAAGCCTCTCAACAGCCTTGTGAGGTAAATATCTCATCATTGCATTTGGCAGATGAATTACTTTCCTCGTGGCACACGGTTAACCTGCCACACAACCCAACCCTGAGCCCCACACAGCTGCCCCCCAGTGACAGGAGCCACCTTCACCTACACCTCAGCGCACTTCGGCTCCCGGGCCCTTCCGATCCATACACTGTAAACAAGCTTCCTCCGGGGCGGGGCGGGGGGGGGGCTTGTGTTTGGGTGACAGGTAAGCAACACGCAGTTCAGCACTTTGGAGGCCAGAATCGAAAGCAGGGGTGTCAAACTCATTGTAACTGGGGGCCACATCAGCCTCGTGGTTGCCTTCAAAGGGCCAAATGTAATTTCAACTCCTTAAATGTTAAGGAGTAGTTCCATTTATACAGTCCTAAAATTATTTCGGCCCACTGAAGGCAACCATGAGGCTGATGTGGCCCCCAGTAACAATGAGTTTGACACCCCCGACTAAAGTGATGGTCATGGATCTGGGGCCTAGGAAACCAAGGCCCAGACAGCAGATTTCAACACACTGCCCAGGGCCCACTCTTGCTTCGGGACAGCGAGGCTCTCTTCCTCTTCCTACCGACCACGTGACCCGCATGGTTCTCATCCGCACCAGAACACAGGCGACCATTGTTAGTGCCACAGTGTGGCAATACTGTGTGTCCCAATCACAGTGACTGGCACAGACCAGGCCCGCAAATATTTACAGAATGAACCAAAGACCAAAGTTGTTTCCGTGGGCAAGTGGGGAAGGCTGTTTTTAACAAAGCAGAGATGAGAAACGCACCTTTAGCACCTGATTATTTGTGTAAAAGAAGACTTTTAAAAGGCCAGTCTAAATTGGGGACAGAATAAAGTTAAGAGCCTCAGGTGATTCTTTTTTCCTCAGCCAGTCCACCGCCTCCAAAGAACAAAACAACCTGGCTCGGTGGCATGCCAGCAGAGTCCTCAGACGGGCCTGCTCTCCGGTGTCAGAGCACAGACACCGACACCACCACCTCCCTCAGGCTGCCCACTTTAGGTCTCCTTAACAGAAGAGCCGCTCAAACCCCCTCTCTGTGAGCTTTCTCAGGGCAACACTGCAGGTGGGAAAGACAGCAGACATTCTCCAACAAGTTCACAGTGGGCCAAAAAACAAACAAACAAACAATCATACTCCACAGTGTGGAAGAGTTTCCTTTAAAACATGAACAGTAATTTCTTCAAACATATGTTTTATACCAGATAATTAAACAGAGCCCATGGTTATGTTTAGTAGAGGATAAGCTAAATGGCTTCAAAGACCATTCTTGAAAATTTTACCTATTTCCCCTTTGTCAGCATCCGTGACCTGAAGACTTGGCTATCAGATTCTCTGAGATTTCCAGGCGTCAAATTGAAGTAAAACTACTGGGACAGAACAGGAGCCAAAAGCAACAGGGAAGATGCCCATTTTCCTCTTCCATTCCCCCGCCCCCACTTGCCACTTAAGAAAAACCGCACGTTTCTCCGCGAAGAAAGGGCCTCATCCTTTGAGATGCAATGCAGCGTTGAGCCGGCGACTCGGGCCGCTGAGGACCAACCCCCGCGACTGAATTTTGCGCTCCTGCACAGCCTCCTTTGTCTGATCCATCCCTGCAAACTCGCGGTCCAGTGCCCTCCCACAAACAAGCCTTCTGCCCGCACAGGAACGCGCCCCGAGTCGTGAGACGAACAGGAGAGTCCCGCCGCGCTCGGAGCCCCCTTCCCAGCCTCGAGCAGGCCGGGCTGCGCACGACCGAGACCTCAGCCGACCGAGACCTCAGCCCCCGCCGACGGCCGAACTGTGCGGAGGGCGGGGGGGGGCGGCGGCGGCGTGGGGTGGGGACCCCAGCCCACCGCGCGCCCGGGTCGCCCCCGCCCGGCACTCACCTCCGTGGATGGGCAGCGGGGCCAGCACCTGGCCGCGGACCTCGGCCTTGGGCGAGTCGAGCCCGTACCGCCCGCGGTCAATGCGGAACGTGAGTGGGGCGCCGCGGCCGGGCTCCTGCACTGTCACGTTGATGAGCGCCGTGTAGTACTCCTGGCTCGCATTGTCCGCCCGCGCCGGCCACAGGCTGCAGGTCAGCAGCGCGAGCGCGGCGAGCCGGGCTGGGCCCGCTCGCGTCGCGCCGCTCATCGTCCCTCTGGCCGCCGCCGCCGGTCGCGGACCAGGCTCCCGGGCCGGCGCCGAGAGGCGGGGCGGGCGCGGCCGGCGCAGCTGCGGGAGCGCGCGCGCGCGCGCGACTGGCGCGGACCCGAGCAACGGCGCACAGGCGCGGCCGTTCGACGTCCTCACGTCCGCGGCCCGCCCGCGGGGACGCGCGCATGGGCCGCTCGGCGAGGACGGCGGGTCAGGCTGCGCGTGCCCGCCCACTCGGGGTTCCTGCAGGGCTGTAGAGGCGGGCTCCTTCCATCCCCGGGACCAGAACCGACGAATTGGGGGTGCCTCGCGGGACGCGGGAGTGGGACGTGCTCAGAGGAAAGTGCGCGGAGCACAAAACCCCGCCCCCCCGCCGGCCGCCCCTGGCACGCGCTCGCCACCGCCCCGCCACCGCCGGCCGAGCGGAGCGCGCACGCCTCGGCGCAGCCCCTCCCCGCGCGCCTGCGCCGAGGCCGGGCCCACTCCTACCAACCCACACGACGGCTGGAGCTGGCCGGGCACCCTCCCTCGCCCCGCGCTGGGTCGCGTTTGTCCGTCGGGAGTGATGGGAACGGGGCTTGAAGCCTAGGAGCTTTTCAGGTGCCGGTGGGAAAGTTGGAGACGAGAATACAGAAGAGAAAAGCTAAAACTTTACAGTTAATTTTAAAATGAAATGTCCGAAATTTAATGTCAACTGGTCAATTTTAAGTCATTTAAGTGACATCATGGTGGGGGGCGTTCTCTGTAAATAAGATTATCGGGGACCTACTAGCCTAGAACTGTGAGGACCCCCGAGTGGTTAGGAAGGACCTCTGCAGACTAGATGAAACCTCCGGAGGACCCAGACAACTGGGAGATGGTGGTAAGACACCACCTCCCCGCCTTCAATTCCACCCTCCCCCCCGAAATGCAGACACCCACATACCGTGTCAGTTCGTCTGTGCACCCTTCTAAGGCATAAACGAAGGGGAAGCATATTTCAGGTGAGGCTGAATTTAGGAGCTTATAGGATATTGGGCTGTGTCCTCATTATTGCTTACAGGTGTCTGGGCCTGCATCTCCTGCCTCCTGCAGTGAGGGGGTGGAGTCAGCCTGGTTTAGCCAAATATGCAGAGAATTACGGTGCTGTTTTCGGGAAAAGGTATAGAGGGAATGCGGGTTAAAACAATAAGTCGTCTGCTGGTGCTTTCTTGGTGTCATCTTTCACAATTTCTCCCTCCAATTTCTTCTCTTTCACCCTCTCAGCCTCCACCTCCATCATCGTCTGTCTAGTCTCCCCTGCTTTCTGAGACTGGATTTTATTTACTTGCCTCCAGGAAATACAGCCCCTAGACCAAAGTAACCAGGCTCCCTCCCAGAACCCAGCACTTACAGAGGACTCTGCTCTGGCCCTGATGCAGCTGGACCCTCTTCACACAGCGAAGAGGCCTTGGGACAAGGTACCCAGACTCAGGCACCTGAGACCTGGGGTTCCTGCCCAGACAGCCTCCTCTCACATGGCATGCTCTGGCTGCCCCTGTCTGACACCTCATGCCCCCTACTCCCTTGTCCTTATAAGGGTCTATGGAAGTGTGGCATGTTTGTGTCCCCTAGCATGAGAAATGTCTATGGAGATCCACCCTGTGGGGAGAAGGTGGGTCTCTTTGAAGCTCTCTTCTGGCCCCCTCAATTTGTCAAAGAGACAGTTGGCTCTGAAACACTTCTAACCCTTCTTTGGCACTTGCCAGTCTTCCAGTGAACAAAGGGGGATGAGGGCTCCAGGCACAGCCTACACGGCACCAGCACTGAGGGCAGCGTTAGCACCAGGCTGCACCGAGGGTGGCATTAGCTTTAGTCTGATGGGGACCTTGTCTTCAGGTCTAGAGGTTTTTCATTTATGGTAGTGATACAAAGCTACCTTTAAAAATTGTGGCAAAGTACATACAACATAAAATTCACCATCTTCACCATTTTCAAGTGCACAGTTCAGTGGCATTAAGCACATTTACATAGGTGTACAAGCTTCCTTGCCACCATCTCCAGAACGCTTCATCTGGTAAAGCTAACACTCTGTAAGCATGAAACAACTTCCCATCCCCATCCCTCAGTCCACCATTCTATTTTCTGTGTCTATGAATTTCACTACTCCAGGTATGTCATGTAAGTGGAATCCTGCAATATTTGTCCTTCTGTATCTGGCCCATTCCACTTGGCATAATGTCCCCCAGCTTCATCCACGTTGTAGCAAGCAGATTTTCTCCCCCCTTAAGGATAAATACATCCCATTGTATGTCTATACCACGTTTTTGTTTATCCATCCATTGATGAGCACTTGACTTGCTTCCACCTTGGGCTCTTGCGAATGCTACAAACATGGGTGTACAAATACCTCTTTGAGACACTGATTCAAATTTTTGGTGTAAATACACAGAAGTGGGAGTGCTAGATCACAGGATAGTTCATTTTCCATGGTGGCCGCACCATTTCACATTCCCACCAACAGAACACAACGGTTTCAATTTCTCCACATCCAGGCCAACACTTTGGACAAAACTACCTTTTAAAACACTTATTTAATTGAAAAAAAGTGAGGGCATTAAAAGTCTTAAGTAAATACAAGCATAAGCGATCCCAGGCCGTGGAGGATGCACGGGAGAGACTGCCTACTGGCCTGTCCTCTCTGTGGGCCATTTGTCTAACTCCAGCACACGGGACCCTACCCTCCCTCTGCTTCCAACTCCAAGCCCATAAGAAACCCCAGGTCCCCAGCAGAAATCTGCCTCTCTGCAGAGTTCTGGGGCTAGGGCCAGGACCAGCATCTCAGCTCCGCTCCCTGGTAGGGGCTTCCCTCCCTCAGGAGCACACCTGAGTCCTCGGGGAGCAATGCTGACACTCCCGGGGCCTGAAGGGGGCGCTGCGGCTGAAGCGCACTGAGAAACACCTGCGTGTCTTCGGGTATCAGAGCCCCCGTTGGGCTCCCTGGGTGATGTTGGAAACCTCAGCGTGTGGGGCAGAGCCTCGCGCTTCCTCCCCTTCTCCTCCTGTTCCTTCTGTCCCTTTCCTTGCTTAAATGGCACATGGTCCCCTTTAGTCCGAGCGAGGCCTTTGCCTTATTATTTACATGTTGTGCTCCCTTTTTTCACTGCCCTTCACTCCCATTCCTAACCCACAGGCAACCATTGTAATGTGCTTGAAGTGTATCTTTTGTGTTGTTGCAAAATGTGCGCTATTGTTTAGTGTACGTGCACTTTTTAGCTACTGAACTGTGTTGGTTCAGATGTCATTCTATTTCCCACACTCTTCACCCAGCCTATGGTATTTTTAAAAAATATCTTTTTCTTATATTTAATCATTAATAAGTTTTTGGTAGCACCCACTAGATCAAAGTGGAGAACATGTCCAGCACCCCTGGAAGCATCCCTACACTTCTCAATCACTAGCGCCCCAATATTCTGATTTCTGTAATGATAGAGGAGTTTGCCTGTTCTTGAACTTCACGGAAACAGAATCACAGAGTGTGTATTCTTTGGTCTGGTTTCTTTTTTTTAATAGTTAATTTTTTATTGTATTTTTTCATCACCACCTATCCCTCTTATATCCTCTTCCACCTCTACCCACCCTCCTCCCCCATAGTTTCTTTTCCTTAATATTATGTCTGTGAGATTCTTCTTTGCAGGTACCTGTAGCTTTTGGCTTTTTCTTGGCTGTATAGTATTCTAATGGGGATTTGTCTTTTTCCTGTGGATGGGAAATATATTTGTATTGATTTCCAGGTGGGGCTGTTACAAATGGACTGTCATGAAGACTCTGTCCTTTGGTGGATGGGGAGTCCTCGCTGAGAGCATGTGGTCTGGAGCAGAATGGTTAAATGAGAGGGCAGGTGCTTGGTTTGGGTAGATATCAGCACTATCTTCCCACAACCCTGTCTGAACCTCTCTTCCCTGTTTCCACCCTGGGGCTCTATCCCTTGAAGGTCTTGGTCCATATTGGATGCCCCCAGCGCTGCTGCTGCTGCCGCTTATTAACACAGCCCACCCCAAAGTGTAGCAGAGTGGGGAGTGGTGGCAGGAACCCAGTGCAGTCCCCACAGGGCAGGCTGTCCTGAAGAGGCTGCCCCGAGTGTCTTCCTCGTGGACCCCAAGTCCTGACAGACACTGGGATCGTACCACAGATGTTTCTGAACACCACCCCCACGTCTTCACATTCATATCTGATTTCCTGTCCCCTCCTTTCAAAGGGCCCAGTGACAGGCCCTTTCACATGATGGCCTTTACCGAGGACAGGCAGAGAGGGACAGGCCCTGGGTCCCCAGACCCAGATCATTTCTGAATCACCAGCACCATCACACAGAAAGGGCATTTTAGGAAGTGCAAAGAACATTTTTATTTTAATAATTGAATATTCATTTTAATATTACCTTCTACTTTATAGCAGGTGATTTTACTTTCAATGGTAGTAATGTCACCTGTCTTTGAAAAGTGAGGTGTCTTAGAGGAAAATATTTAATAGTAATAGGTGGAACACAGATGGGGCACAATTGTAAAAGTGATGCGCAAAAGACCCAAGTGGGACATGCGGACAGAGAACTGAGTAGGGCCTTCAGAGACCGGTTTCAAATCAATGGTGCTGATTGTTAAATATTTAGGAGTTTTACAAGCCATTCATCAAACTCTCGATACTTGGAAATTGGTCACAGTGGGGATAGGATAATATTTACACCACAGAAATTGGCAGACACTATGAATCAGGTCTTGCTTACACACACTCTCTCTCTGCCCCCCCCCCGCCTCTGCCCCCTGCCTCCCCCCCCCCGCCACACCCCTTGTTTTTCTTTTTCAGAAAGTGCTTTACCACAAAGCCACTGGTTCAAATTCCTGCTTGGCCACATGTCAACTGGGCAACATCAAGGTCATGTCGTGTCCCCTCTGGGGTCAGTTTCCATCTGCAGAGTGAACCTGCTGACCTCTCTCTCTCCAGCTCTGACAAATGCAGACCAGATGGCTGGTGCCTGGAGGCTACCCTTCCCACAGTCACCCCATGTCCTTGTGACTCCCTATAGGAGGTACAGAGACCATGAGGGTCCTGGTGACAGCCTGGGTGAGGACTGCCTCACCACCCTCCACAGGCGTCACCCAGAACAGGCCATCCTGAGTGGGTGGACACTCAGGCTGGCCAGCACCCTACCCACACAGGCAGCAGGGGCACAAGTAATAGCACCTTACTTAGAAAATGCATGATCCACAATGTCTAGCTTTCCCTAACGAAGAACTTCAAGTGTAAGGAAAAGCCAAAACAACAGCACAGGGGAACACTTCCCTTGCCACTCAGGCCACAGATGCTTTGCCCATTCTGTGTCATTTGAAATGCTCTTTTGTG